GCATTGTAAATGCAGTCCTGTTTCAGAGAGGAGATGACAGTAGGAGTCACAATCGAAAGGTGTTGATGTACTATAGCTCTAAGCTAGATAATGTTGAAAGAGGACATCCAACTTGTGTGAGACATGTTGCTGCAATTGGTCGAGCAATATTGAAAACAGCACACATCACAATGGGCTATCAGACGGTTGTACACACTACCCACGGGGTAAAAGCATTTCTGGACTCTAAAGCATTCACATTGTCTGCACAGAGGACAACTTCATACTTTTGAAATATTTAGCTTTATTTTGACAATCTTGCCCCAATCAAATGAATGGGAAAATTCTACTTCAGCATAATTTCAGTTATCAAAATGTTCAGCTCTTCAAGGACATTCATGCTTTTTATAAGAATTTTTCTAAACTTCATACTTTTATAATATTTAGCTTTATTCTGAAAATCGTGCCCCATTCAAATGCATGGGGAAATTCTACACTCAGCATACTTTCAGCCATTTCGGGTATCAAAATGTTCAGCTCTTCAAGGACATTCATGCTTCTCTTCAGAATTTTTCTAAATCTCATACTTTTGAAATATTTAGATTTATTTTGAAAATGTTGCCCCATTCAAATAAATGGGAAAATTCAAATTCAGTATACCTTCACCTATTTCAGGTATCAAAATTATCAGCTGCTCAAGGACATTCATGCTTCTCTTCAGAATTTTTCTAAATCTCATACCTTTGAAATATTTAGCTTTATTTTGAAAGTTTTCCTTGATTCAAATGAATGGGAAAATTCTACTTCAGCATACCGTCACCTATTTTGGGTATCAAAATGTTCAGCTCTCCCAGGACATTCATGCTTCTATTAACAATTTTTCAAAAGATCACACTTTTAAAATATTTAGCTTTATTCTGAAAATCTTGCCCCTTTCAAATGAATGGGGAAATTCTACTTAAGCATACTTTCAGGTATTTCAGGTATCAAAATGTTCAAGTCTCCCAGGGCATTCATTCTTTGACTCAGACTTTTTATACACTTCACACTTCTGAAATATTTAGCTTTATTTTGAAAATTTCCCCCATTCAAATTAATGGAAAAATTGTACTTCAGCATACTTTCAGGTAGATATGCCTTTCAGGTGTCAAAATGTTCAGCATTTTCAGGGCGATCCTTCAGCTCATTGCATCCACATGCATTTTCAACAGGAAATGCATTTCTCTAGTTTAGTCTGTTCTCTAGCTGATCTAACATCTTAATCCTGCAGCTAGTGGCAACATTAAGGCACAGCAGTTGCCCTATTTGGTCAAACAACATAAACACATTTTGTTTGTGGGACCAACATCTACAGTAGGTGACCCTTCTGACGACCCAGAAAGCAACAGGAGATCCACACAGACTTGTTGTGACTGGCACAGTGGTGGCCTGACTACATGCATGTTTCACCTGTTTGAGGGCCTCCTGTTTGCTCTTGCTGAGCTCCTCATATTTAAGTTTCCATTGACTCAGTTCAGCCTCCAGCCTCTCAATGCTCTTAGTCAGAGCAAGCTTGTCTCTGGGGAAGACACAAAGACACAACACACATTAGTGATGTTTGGACACTCAATCACACAGCTCTAGAGCCTGGATGGGTTATGATCTGAGTCAGCTAATGTCAGCCAAAAAGGATTTTTCACAATTTACATTTCCAGTTTTTAAGGGGAAAAAGTACCTCAGAGATCACTAGTGAAATACCAGTCACTGCCTACAGCTTCCCTTTATGACCCCAGGAGACACTGACTGATGAACCTGCTATAGCTCAGGATATTTTAAAATACATGGCACACATGACCAGCTGCCCACGGAAATAAGACTTCACAGTAAGATGTGTTGATATGATAGGGCTGAGTGGGGCCTGTCCTGGTTTGAGTTATACAGCTATTGTATATAGTACGCGTCAAGTCCCACATTTTACCCATGGCACTCCCATTTCAGTACTTTGCTGGTATCTCACAGCTGTATACTAAAACATCTCACATCCTCCAAAGAAAATAAAAGTGTTGAATGCACTTCCTGGCTTCAGCTCCAGACAAAGCTGCCAGCAGAGGTGGTCATTTACAATGTAGAATAAGCAGTGGTGGAGGAATGTTCATTGTCTACTTTGGCTATGGGTTACACTGGTCTTCACAGGTTGGCAGGGGACAAACAATCCCCTTACCAAGGTAATGAAGGAGACAACTCTATAGCCACTCCATCTGATCTCCTCAGTAGGATAACAGTTTCCCCTGGTATTTTAATGTCAAAAACCATTCAGTTTATTTATTATGTATTTGTTCTAATCTATAATGGTTGAAGATTATGTTTCTGGAACTGCCCATTTAATTCACATTAATTGTTTTCTTGTACAATCTGTAATTCTGTTTGTGTAATTTATATATAGTTCTGTGTTGTTTTTGTGACTAAATGCTGTGAGGAGCCTTGTGAGGTTCCCAGAGAAGCAAACCTGAGGATGCCTCTGATCACACGTAACCAGAGGCAGAAATAGTTTGAGTTAATTGACATGCATTGCTGGTGAACAGCTAAAAGAACTCCACCATAAAACTGAAGAACTACTGTAAACTGAAGAAAGCAAAGCTGAAACATCTGTGCATGTTTCCTCCTGTGCTAACGTTTGAATTAACTCAAAGGAAATATTCTCACTGACGTGGGTACGCATGCGTTTGCTCCATGGGCTAAATTAGCATTTTTCTGAAAAAACAAGAAAATGCTAGAGTGCTTAGGAAGTTCAGTTCACATATGTCAAAGGTGCACATTGCAAAAAGAGACCAAACAGATGTAGAAATGAAAAAAGAAAAGAAAAATGTAAGCCGGTCTTGCTGAAATGAATAAAAAGCCTTTATTCAAATGTCTTACATGAATGATTTAAAAACAATACATGTTAAAAAAGGTTTGGTCATTTTGTGCAATAATTTCTTCTTAGTGGAGTTGATATGTATAAATCCCTTAGTTTCTTGTGAGGTCGACTGCTGCCATGTTTTGGTCCTTACATCAGTGAGAGCAGTGCTTTCCAGTTTGTTGGTGCCTGTTATCATTAGGTGTTTGTAATTACCAACTAAAAACAAAGCTGTGTATTGTGGGTTACGCCCTGAACAAGGCAGTTTGTGCAGCTACATGTGGGCTGCAACTCATTTTAAGATGTATTGTTTTTGAATTTCTCTGCTTTTGATAAAGTACAAAAAGTCCAAACACAGTAAATGGAAATGTTTACTGAGAAACTAGGCGGAAAATTATAAACTGTTTGGGAGAAGTCAACAACTGGTTTGCTGCTAGTTGAGTCTAATGCATCAGCATAGTTCACTAGTATTTTTAAGGGGTGGTGAAGGTAGCATTCAGGACCTTTATGTACATAATTAAAAGCAAAAATACCTTAGTGTAAAAGTACTTCATTACAAATCCTGCATTCAAAATAAACTACCCAAATGCCAGATGCTACATTTCCCATAATGCAATCAATGGCTTTTTTTGTTTGACCCTTACCTAGCATGCACCCACATTATAATGCCAGCCTCCTGTAATACATTAAATAGGGTCTCACCCACTCTCAAGGATAAGGAAATCTATCCTATTGAATAAACAAATAAAAGCCATGCTGTTTTCTGTTTAATCTTCATGCGGCATACTTAAACTATTTTTGAGCAATAAATTTCTGCTGTCAGTCAGCCTGGCAAGAACAGCTTGGCCAGCAATTGTTTTTGGGAGCTGCTGCCGACAGACAGCTAGTCCTGAGGATGAGAGACAGCGGACACAATGCTTCATTAGCACAAACATGCTTGGCCAGCAGTTGTTTTTTGGGAGCTGCTGCTGACAGACAGCTGGTCCTGAGGACGAGAGACAGCGGACACAATGCTTCATTAGCACAAACATGCTTGGCCAGCAGTTGTTTTTTGGGAGCTGCTGCTGACAGACAGCTGGTCCTGAGGACGAGAGACAGCGGACACAATGCTTCATTAGCACAAACATGCTTGGCCAGCAGTTGTTTTTTGGGAGCTGCTGCTGACAGACAGCTGGTCCTGAGGACGAGAGACAGCGGACACAATGCTTCATTAGCACAAACATGCTTGGCCAGCAGTTGTTTTTTGGGAGCTGCTGCTGACAGACAGCTGGTCCTGAGGACGAGAGACAGCGGACACAATGCTTCATTAGCACAAACATGCTTGGCCAGCAGTTGTTTTTTGGGAGCTGCTGCTGACAGACAGCTGGTCCTGAGGACGAGAGACAGCGGACACAATGCTTCATTAGCACAAACATGTCATCCCCATCTCACTTTTAAAGTGGACTTCCAGTCAGACTTGACAAAGCTCCTCCAAGGCCAAGATAAACTGATCTTGATGTACAAAACTGGTGGAGTGGCTATAGTTAAAAACATGCTGGAAGTAAATGTCCTTCAAAGTAAGTACTCATTATACTGATGGACAGACATTCTCATTCAATTCAATGGGAAAGTGTGTCCAAACGTTTGACTGGTATCCTTGCAGTTTTGTATTTCCTGTCTCTCTTACTCTCTCTCTTTCCGCAGGACTTTCTGGGACTCGTCCAGGCGAAGCTGCAGGGCGTTTAGTTTGCTGGAGTCTTCCTCCACTGTGCTCACATCCTCCCACAGCTGCCTGCTGCGTTCCTGCCGGCTCAGACCAGAGGATGAACGTGGGCTGGTAGGGTTAACATCGGCGTTGCCACCACGACTGTCCCAGGCATCCTGACTGTCAGCACCCAGGGTCTGGGAATGGAGGACTGACTCCAGCAGCTCCAGGTCCTGACAGAAGAAGACACAGAGAGACAAAGGAGAAGATGAGACCAGAATACCAGCTTGCAGATATGAGGTGAATAATAGCATATTCTTGCAGCCCAGATATGGTGATACAGTGTTACTGTAAGATTTGATTCTTATAGGCTCTAGTTACTTTGTAAGCTTTAGTTACTTTTCATCCCTTTAGTTACTTTTCAGTTTTTCATTTTCTTTTAGTTACTTTTCATATGTTTTATTTTCCTGGCTTATACATATTAAAACTGTATTGATGAAAGCTGTATTGTGCTGAGTGTAACAGTGGGACTTTATGCTGTAGAGACAGGATGTTTGCATCTCCTAGTAACCAAACAGCCTATTTATATTTTAACAAAGACCTGTTGGCCTGTTTTACACCCACACCTAGACCTACTTAGCATATCCCAGGTTCTGCTTTGTCATGGGGTGTCCTTCAGAGCCAGGGGGCTCACAACCTGAGATAACCACCTGGCCAGTTCAGCATACTTATTAGCATCACACACACAGGTCGCCTGCAACCCAGACCACCCACTGATCAAGATCAAGCTGCCACCTGACACACACACACACACACACACACACACACACACACGCGCACACACACACACACACCTAGGATTTTACCACATTTCAACAAGGAGGTGTGAGCTCCGGTTTACACCAAAGGGCCAATAGGATTACGAAGTGTTGAGTGTTGTACCTTTGTTTAGGGCAGGCCAGACCCAGCCAGATAAATGCATTGTAAACACATAACTCATGGTTCAGAGGATGGAATTCCTGCGGGAGCTCTGTCTCTCTGATCCCAGCACTGTAAGACTTTACCTGTGCTCAGACTTCCAGTAAACTTTCTGTTGATTTTAAACAGTCCTCTCCTGTCTTCACATCTTGCACTTCCAACAAAAGAATTGGGTTAATTTCTAACATTACCATGACCAAATTTTGCATATCCATATATGCAATACATACAGTTATGGCCAAACATATTGACACCCTGCATTTCTGTCAGATAACACACCACTGCTCCCAGAAAATTGCTGCAATCACAAATTCTTTGGTATTCTCATGTTTGTCTTTTGTTTGCATTGAAACAACACAAAAAGCTGAGAAAAATGCCAAATCGTTTCGTTTCATAGTGTCTTCTTATGTTATATTCTTTCGTTAAAGCCACATTGACTCCACACACCGGACAAACAGTTCTGCCCTTTACATTAATGAACAGATAATCTTCCTCCCACCTGTGTTGAAAGCTCCAGCTTTCCATCTTTCGTTTGGCCATTTTCTGGGAGGGGTGGATTATATTTGCCCGAGGTGCCTAGTAGCATGAAGTTGCTAATGAATGTAAACAAAAGGTGCTTGCGGGTCTTGATTGACGCGCCATTGCACTAGCAAAGCATTCTGGGATTTGCAGTATAATAATAATAATAATAAAACTTTATTTATATAGCACTTTACAACTCCAACAGAGCACAGAGTGCTTTACAGCAGAACATGTGTAACTAATAAAAACACTACTAAAACAATAAGACCTAAGCAAATAATGAGGATGTCAGGAGTGGCAGAGAAGTACTGATCTTTAAGAACAAGGGTGATGTGCAGAGTTGTAGCAACT